CCCACACCCACACCCTCACGAAATCATTGGAACATGTGAAGATGTCAGTGGATGTACCGATGATGTCGTTAATTAATAGTATCGAGATAATTACAAAATGAAAAATGGCCAGCATGAAAATATTGTATAAAATTATTATAAGCTTTGCCTAATTTTTCTGTGTAATTAATTTTTTAAAGAGCTCATTTCTAAGATGGTCTCAACAAGTGCATTGGTGGATTCTATTTAGAAATGATGAAGTGATCCGTTCACATCAGTCAGTAGATCAATACAAGCGATTATCTAAAACGTTTCTTTTTTTGCATTGTTTTTTCTTGTTTATAATAATGTCATATTTTCTATCAACAAATAAAAATTATCGATATAATATAATATGGTTCTTTGTCGAAGAAAAAACTAGATAATAGACGATTTCAACTATTTATCTATTTTACATATTTTGCTTTTTGACAAGTTAAATCTGCCGAGTTTTTTTTAATTGAATTAAATTCTTATTCGATTCGATTTCAAACTTTTTATTGTTTTCATCAATATTCAATGAAAATAACAGATCATTACAATATATATATATATATAATTATATATTAGTTGAGAAAGACTAGCTCTTTGAGACTTATTCTCAATATAAAGAGTGAAAGAGATATCTTTAAAAATGATTTCTCTAGTTAAATAATAGAGTCACTCTGTTTGTCATCATATATTGCATAAAACTGTTATAGTTACCTGGAAAATATGAAAATTATCAATAATTTCTAGAAAATTCATGAAACAGTAGACGAACGATTGGTATGACATTTTTCGATTTATTTTCGATAAATAAAGATGATTTTTTGTTTTGAAAATGAATAACAAATGGTCTTTTATGGCAAAATTAATTAAAATAATTTTAGTTAATTATTAAACAATATAAACCATGATCATTGATGTTCTCAGTCTCAAATAATAGAAGAGTCATATTGACACATACATTTACACTAAAATTCAATCGTTCTCGACAAATATCAGAGCTCTAATTTTATTTTAATTATTCAATATATATATATATATTACTTTAAATAGTTGTTCCAATAGGAATATAGTTAAAAAGAGTAATTTCAATCATAATAATAACTAATCATAGTTGAAATATTCATGAAAGATGCCTGTTTGCTCAAAAAATAGTTCCCTTTAAAAAAATTCATATAAATGATAAAAAAAAAGTTAAACCTAAATAAGAAATAATTGTTATAAACGAACATCTAATTATAATGTCTCATATTTCCCATACCGATTAAAATTTTACTAACATGTTACATTTATTGTTTGGGATTCGTCTGTTTTAAACTTATCTTCATAGGTAGATTGAATATAATTCTTATCTTTTAATGTTTTTGTTGATTTTTTTTTGAATTTTTTTTCGATCCAATTTTTCAATAATATACCCTGAATAGCACCTATTATTAATTGTAGAGCATGATATATAATCAATGGTAATGGAAGTAGACTAGTTATATGTGAATATTGTTTATCATATAAAGCATTAATTAATGAAATTCCCATAGCTAAACTTTTCATAGAAGCACAAAACAAGATTGCAACAGTATCTTTTTCCGAGAATTGCCAATATCGAATAGGTAGTCTGGCTATAAGAAAAATTAATAATGAAAATAATATATAAATGAAAGCATCAATAAGAATTAATATGAGAAGATCTTTTTTATGCATCGTTTGAAATGATTGATTGGAAAAAGCCGTAGAAAATACTGACCATACAACAATTAATAAAGCTACACTATTCAATTGAGAAAAATAAAATTTATCTCGTAAATATATTATTTTTTTAGTCCATAATAAATGAATTATTTGTCCAAGAAATAAAGGAAGCAATATAATTAAACTTAATTTTTTAATAACATGACTATAATTTAATCTATCTTGTTCATAAATTGATTTTGATAATAAATCAAATATTGGATTTTTCATAAAAACAAATAGAAGAGCTGGTGAAATAAAAGTACCTAAAATATTGCCAACTATTGCATTTAATAATGCAGCATATTCATTTCCCAATGCATTTTTTGTCATAATAACATTACTAGAACCTGTTGTTGACATTGAAGCCATTATAATGATACCAAATATCAATATTTTGTTCATAGATGTTCTTGATAACAATAATGATAAAGCATAAACTAGAAATGGAATTATAATAAAACTATAGACTTGAATAAAAAGATGAAGACGAATATGAAATATTTCTTTAGTAAGTTGTCTTGTTTGAAGAGATAAACCACTAAGAAAGAAAATAAAGATAATACAACCATATTTAACAGTCCATTCTGAACGAATATAACCACCTGTTTTTCCAACATTTGGAAAACAATATCCTAGTAATATTGATATAAGTAAACCAATAAGAAACCAATACTTTCCAACAATCGACAATATATTAGATAAATATGATTGTTCACATTTCTTTTTTATTTTATCTTGTTGTTGATTTTTCAAATATATATCAATTGATGATATCATTCGAGGTAAACAATACAAACAAACAAATTTTTCATCATAAATAGCACAGATTTGTGGATATTGAATTAAAGATTTAATATCGAATGATATACTACTCGATAGTATAACAATTATTGAACAATCGTTTTTATCAATAATATATTCTTTTAATTGATTATCATCTGTAAATTTATTTCTAATATTCATTTCTGATATTATTTTATCTGATGATTTTCCAAGCCAAACTATTTCAAATACATTTTCATCTTTTGCTTCAATCGACATTTTATTTTATAATCTAAATATTATATTTAACAAAAAAACAACATATCTAAAATCGAAATAAATATATTGTTGTTTTTCGAAAACGAAAAAAAAACTAACAATTTTATTTAGAATAGAGTTATATCGATTATGCGATCAATATTTAACAATAATGACCAAACAATATTTCGATTTATTTCATATATATGATGCTTTTTTCAATATCTTTATTAGAAGTTATTTTACTTCAATATCATGATGAGTATAACAACAGATATATTTTAACTATGAAAATTATTATTTTTTTTTCTTTTTTAACTAATCTGATAATGATCATTTAGTACGGTTGATTATATTCAAAATTTTTAGAACATCTATCATTATATTATTCTTGATGATATGACAAAATCAGGCTATGAATATAGTCTTTGATTAAGAGAAAAGAAAAGCTTGACTTCATTTACTTCAAGCAAAATTTGATACATCACTGGAAAACGATAATCATATATCGATGAAATAAGTTAACTGCAATCAAATACAAGTACAGACATGCTTTTCTTCTTTCGCGTCCACGATAGCGTTTATATTAAAAATCTTACTTCAAATAGGAAAATCTATCATTTAATCACAAATCAAGGCAAACCATAATCTTTATTATTGACGAGTATATTTGTCAAACTATTTCATACCGTCTATGGGAACTATTTTATTACATTGACATTTTTATATAGGAATTATTCGGAGAAAGATATCTAATCAATTTAAACATAGTGATTTACCATTTCAGACAAAATGAAATATAACTTAACTTCAATCATAGTTATATATATAATAGATCCATCGGTGTAATTTATGCACGAATTTTATGAATATTTTTGAGAAAAGAAAACGGAGAAAAATAAGAATATAAATCATATCACAAAAATTAATCGTAAAGTCGATAATATAATCTCATATGCTATCCCACGTCGTCTTTTTTTTGTCAAAACTGCTGGTAACCGGTGGCTTCCACTAAAATCGTCGGTTAAATACGAGCATGCGACTGTTTGTATAATTTGCTTTAATTATTAAACAATATTATAGACATAACCGTAAGTATTATAATTTTATTTCTTTTATTTGCATCCATCTCGACGTTGAAATGAACTGTAAGTGTCATTCTACATAAAGTTTTACTTTCCTCTCATTTCGATCAATCTTGACGTGAAAATGAATAATAAGTATCACTTTAGACAAACTTCTTTTTTTCTTTACCTAGACTGATCTCAATATCCAAAGGAAAAGGAAGTATTTATTTATAAGAATTATATTTTTCTCTTTTTTTTTAATTAGATGAGTCTCAATGTCAAAATGCTCAATAAGTTATTTAGAAAATAGAATTTTTTTTAATTTAGCTTTGATTCAATAGTTCATTTCAAAGTGAATATAAATTTATCATTTTTTTTACTCTATAGATTTGGTCCCCCAGCTAATCCATAGGTAAGTACAAATCTTTAACGAATAAAATTACTTTTTTTTATTTAGACTTTATCCTCTATCTTATTTAAATCTAAGTAAAACATTATAAATAATTACATTATTTTTTTTAGTGTTTAGATTTACTCCAACAACTGAAGCAAATGTAAGTATAAATTATGAGATAAATTAGATCTATCACACGGATGTAGTGAGAGAAGGCACAAGAAGTACTGATAAAGAATCGTCATTTGACCGTAGTTACCGTCGGTTAGCCTTCCAGTTGACCGAACGGTTATCTGTGGTTAACCGACGGTTTTTGATCGATTCGAATGACATGGGACCCTATATGAATGAAGCAGAGATGTCGAAACATGTTCTTTTTTATTCCATCGCTCATAGAGTTTACTTGAGTAATTTAACTCCTATTGACAGGATAATTTTTATCTAGACAGTGACATAAAAAATGCGTTATGAACAATATTGTCAAATCAATGTCAACAGCAGAACAGCGACAAACAAAAAACTATGATGATGAGAAAAGAAGATAAAAATGGAATCAATGCAAGTTACACTGGAATATACGATCAAGCCTTGGGGCACACCTGAGTGCTACCAAGAAGGTCCACAGGTTGCGAATAGTGAAACGGCCATTAGTATGATGGTTAGTTGCGGATAAGATCAACTATCGATCAAATAAACAGTCCCGGACAATTCAGTCGCCTTGCCACCAGGATGTAATGGGGTTTTGGATGGCACCTAAACATCCATAAAATGCTACAGAAACGCAAAGACGGCAAGGTGACATGGCAGTTATAGGCCGCCAGTGGCTAGGTTTACTCGAACCAAGTCTCATAAGCCTTAGCCTGGGTAGGTGGAGCTCTTTGGCCTTGATTGGTAGTTCACCTAAGAGAAGGAACAGTCTGATTTAAAACCAAGGACAGATGAATCTCTTAGTCATGGTAGGCAACTCATATAGGAGGGGTAACTCTGATGACAAACACTCACCAATCCGCATAGCCAGCGTGGTGTTTTACTGGCAATACAATCTTCCCATGAAAGCACACACGCTTGAAATTGAGGCCAGCTCGGTCGTCGCCCGAAATAATAAGGACCGCATTTGTGATTTTGACAGTTGGTCACAGATGATAAGTATGCTACAGGTGCCAACCCACAACAGCAACAAAAAATCTAGGAACAATAGCAAACCAGGAAATAACAGTAAACCAAGCAGCAACAAATCTAGCAAAAGCAAAACACCAGGTAACAGCCCTCCAAACTTAATAAATATGCATATCTGTACCTAAAACATTAGAAAATTCAGAGAAGAATAAAAAAGGAAGGAATTTGAAGAAGAAATATTAAGAATAAAATGGGATACTATAGGATTATGTAAAAAAAAATGTAAAGGTGAATATTTAACGAAATTAAAAAGCGGCCACACACTCTATACCTTTGGAAACCCCAATAACAACAAAAATGGTATAGGATTTTTAATAAATAAAAAGATAGCAAAAAAACGTAACAAGTATAAAAGGCATAGATGAAAGAGTAGCCCAACTAACTTTGAAAATAAATCAAAGATACAAAATGAAAATAATCCAAATTTATGCACGAACAATAGGCTATGTAGATCAAGAAGTCATCGAAATTTATCGAGAGATTGAACACTCCTTAAAAAAAGACAAAACCTTTTTTCACCATTATAATGGGTGATTTCAATGCAAAGATTGGAGAAAAAGAAGATAATAAAGACACAGCTATGAAAAAATTTGGAGTAGAAAACAGAAACGACAGAGGAAAAATGCTGATTGACTTTGCACTGAAAAACAATCTACAAATAACAAACAGCATCTTCTACAAAAAACCAAATAGAAAATGGACCTGAAGAGGATCAAACAACTGTGTAAAAAATGAAATTTATTTTATTCTAACCAATAAAATGTATATCTTGAAAAATATCGAAACTCTAAATTCTATCAAAACAAGAAGCGACCATAGAATGGAAAGAGGAAAAATAAGCATTTGTACTACAAATGAAAGAAGAAAACTAATCCTTAAAAAGAAATCATAGATAAACAATGACATACTCAAAACAAAGAGAAAAGAATTTGAAACCAAAATCGATCAAATGATAAAAACAAACATCAACACCAAAGAAATGAATCTAAATCAACTAAATGATACTTTAACAAAAATAATTATTGATACTGCAGAAAAATTTGCAAAAGAATCACCTACAAACCAAAACACATACAAAATATCAGATGAAACATGAAACTTAATTGAAAAAAGAAGAAAATTAAATGCAAATGCAAATCATGTTGAGTTGACAGAACTAAACAAAACAATAAAGAAAAGACTACGGATACAAAAAAAGAAACCACAACACAAAAATAATTCAAAATACAGTTGAAAATAACAAAAGCTTAAAAAGAACCTTCAAAAACGTCTCACCTGGTTAAAATAAATTTATTTCCTTTAAAGATAAACACGGACGTGTTTTATTCGATACACACGAAATAAGCAATAGAATCAAAGAATTTTACGAAGACCTATACGACAGAAAAATAACAAACAAGATAAAAAAATACAAAATGAATGTGAACAAGGAAATGATATTCCTAATATAATAATAGAAGAAATAGAAATGACACTTAGATCAATGCCAAACAGCAAGGCTCCAGGCCCAGATCACATAACTACTGAGATGATAAATAATGGAGTAACAACTGTCCAAAAAAAGGTATTCAAGGACTTTTTAGTGGATATCTAAAAGAAAAGCAAATACCACAAGATTGGAATAATGCAAACACTATTCTCATATACGAAAAAAGAGATCGTACTGATCTAAAAAATTATAGACCAATAAGCCTTCTTTCACATATCTACAATCTATTTACAAAAATTTTAACGAACAGACTGAAAAGCAAACTAGAAAAAATAGAAGACAGCGAACAGGCAGGATTTTAAAAAGGGTTCTCGACAATAGAACATATTCACATTCTAAATCAGATCTTGGAAAAAACAAAGGAATTTAATTTACCACTTTGTATGACATTCATTGACTATGAAAAGGCATTTGATACTCTAGAAAAGCCAGCGATCATTGAAGCCTTAGAAAACTAGCATATTGAAAGGGAACAGATTGATCTAATTAAGTACATATACGATGATGCTAAAACCTCCATAAATCTTCATAATATTGAAACAAATATAAAAATAACTAGAGGAATAAGACAAGGAGATACCCCGTCCCCAATTCTCTTTATTACATGTCTGAAAGATATATTCAGAACATTAATCTGGGAAGAAAAGGGGATAAGGGTATGCGGAGAATATCCAAATAACCTGAAATTTGCTGATGAAATTATTCTGTTTGCAAACAACTTGGAAACTTTACAAGAAATGATGGAAGAACTTCAAAGGGAAAGCGCAAAAACAGGTCTAAAAATCAACGTCGATAAACCAACAAAGAAGTTGAAAAAGCCAACAGTTTTGTTAACCTGCGCCAAACGATAGGAACAAATAAAAATATTGAACCAGAAATCAACAGAAGAATATCA